TACGATCAGCGATGTGGTTCGTAAACGTGATTGAATTAGATTTTTATGAATGGGAGAAAGAGCGCGATTTAAAAACGACAGATTCGCGTGACTATAAGAAAGAGTGCACCGACGAAAAAAGCAAATCTCAATCACATCTGTTGCAACCGATTTGACAGGGTCGCGTCAAACGATGCGCGATACTAAACCGCGATATATCGCGCGTATGATTGTGTGATTTCCTGCTTCGCCTTAATCTTCACAGACGATAACGCGGTATATTGTAGCGGGTTGAGAAATTATGCGGCAATTTCCTAGTTGCAACGTAGAGCTCTGTGTCATACCGAGTGCATTTTATCGCGCTTATGCATCATGCATGTGGAAGTCACATCATTCCGCGACGGATTGGAGTAATGAAATGAAACTTCGCAATTTATATGAAGGATAATGCATTAAAACTGTCCTCATAAATTTCAAGTCGAAATTATAATAATATCACATTATCAATTGAAATTAACATTAAAAAAAAATAAATTTTGAATATGAAAAATCGTAGAAATGGCGTAGAAAAGAATATTAAATTAATTTACATATTAAACTGCGAGAGAGAAAAGAAATAAATAAATGAACAAATTGTCATACATTCTCGACGTACGTACACGCGTTCTATATCTGTCATCCGCGATGATTACCGATCGCTTTACTCTCTCCCTTGCCTAATCACCGCCAATTAATATCAGTTTAAGAACGTCGTTACCTCGATGCACCATACCGGGAGGCGAAATCGAGAGAGTCACTCTTGTAACGAAACAATGAGAATCGCGCGCGTATGTGAGAGATTCGACCACCCGGAATCTCTCGACGACACGGATACACAACTGCACTCGAAAGCACGTCGCACTCTACTGATGGACGATGCCATAAGCGAATCGAACGCTGCGATGAGCCGTTACGCTGCCATTCGCTCGTCCAAGAAGAGAAGAGGAAGTGCGCCCGACACATTTTTGATTTATGTTGCGTATCGCCGCGATTTATATCGATAACCATCTAATATTCGTTGACGTGTCTAATTTAAAATACAGTTACGTATGAAAAATGGTCATGTTTTATCAATAAACGGAGAGAATTCTCTCTTAGAATTTATCCCGAAAATTTACATGGTAATCGTGGGACAATATGATGGAAAAATTTTATAAGAGTTTCTCTGATTGATACTTACCACAATAAAAAGATGAATATTTACTATGTATATAGTAAAATTAATCGAACATATTTCATATCTTATTATGGTAATTATTAATATTTATTAATCAGAGAAACTTTTATAAAATTCTTTCAATACCGTATTGTCCTACAATTAAGTATCATAATTTTCAAGAGAAATTCTATAAGAGAAAATTCTCTCTATGTAGAAAATTAAATGACGTAACAAGCATCGGTGAAATCAATAAAAAAGATTGCAACTGTATTCTTTTATGTATTTTTTGTTACAATCTTTATGGAGCAATGAGGTGGCTCGGTGACCATATTTGCTAAATATTTCACAACTCTGAATCATTGTTTCGGTCCTTCACGCCGAATTTAATTTTAAATCAGTAAATAAAGCTCAAGACTCATGGGACCGTTTATTATTTGTATCTTTATCTTGTGCTCGAACACTTATTGCCCCTATTTTATTATTTATTTTAAAATATTCAAAGCCTTGTGTTTCTCTGTTTAAATATCAATATATCTCTATCATGATCATTTTCAAATTCTATTTTATCAAAAATATGCCTGCCTATAAAAAAGTATTGGATTTTTAATTGATCACATTTCGTACTTATTTAATATTTTATTTAACACTGTATCGTGCGTGTATAATTCATCAAGACTAAATATTTAGAAAATAAAAAGAAATTATTACACAATTTTTCTAAAACATTATCTTTTTACAGTTACAATATTTTTTATCTTTTTATGTGTTTTAATATTTGTTAAAAATGATAATTTATTATAACAATAAAAATTACATTTTTATAAAGTTTATTGAAATTATATGATGTATTTATAACGTATTACGTGGCGAATAACATGTGCGAGCCTCAGGCTCTCGGACACTACCGTTACCGCTTTATTAAAAGTCATACGTCATTGATCAAACTGTCTCCCTGTAATCTCACGATCTGCCAGACGGTATCAACGAGTTATAGAATGTGTCGAATAAAATCGGACGATATTATTTAATAAAAAAAAAATCAATCCTTTTTATTTTTTTATAAAAGTTTAAACATTATCACACACATTTATAAATTAATATCGGCAATAACATTGTTCGCTTTCTGTATAAAAATTAAATAATTTTTAATGTCTGAAAGTGACATTCCCAATCAAATCGAGCACAATTTCAAGCAAATCGAGCTGGAAACTAATTCGCGACGACAGAGTCTAAAGACTCTAAGCACGCAGAAACGAATGAATAAATGGGTTATGCGTGCGCGCGTCTCGACATATCGTTCTTTTTTTTCACGTACAAGAGACACGTAACGGTTCGCGCGTATATACTCGAGTGTATACACGCATGCACAACTACATTAATCGACATACATCAAACAACAACAACGCCCTAATGGCACGACTGACAGTTTAGTGACTGAAGTGGCGCAATCATTAAACCCGGCACTCCGACATCGCCGGAGGTATTTGGTCGGCAGAGAGAAGCAGACAAGAAAGGATAATGACCCATCTCATCGCGGGAAGTGCATCGATTAGAGCGCACACGATCCTATCCTATCAAGAGTATATTTTTTTAGCTATTCATCGATCACCTTAAATGTCTGATGTCTCTGAAAGTGATTTTAATGCACGTTCGGAGTAAAAATCTTTACTGACATTTGTACGAGATGTTTAACAAAATTTATCATTCTCGAAGCGGAAAATTGAAGCTAAAAATACACTTGCCACAGCTGAATTATCGTTATCTTAATGGAGATATATATGTGGGAAACAATTTCGAATTTTCACTTTATATAGGATGATTGCGCGAGAAATGAGGGTCAGCTGCGATATTATAAGCTATGTTCTCACTGCAGCAACAACGAGCAACTTTTTATATTTCTTATAATTTTTTTTATTATTCGTATTAGTTCTTTTTTATGTTCCATGTTTCTTAAAAGAGTTGTTATAGTTGTTGCCAAAAGTTTCTTAAGCTGCGTTCTCACTGAAGCAATAACGAGCAACTTTTTAAACATAGAACATCAACGAAATGTTTAAAAAAGTCTCATCAAGATTCGTCATGTTTAAAAAATTGCTCATTATGTTGCTCCAGTGAGGACATATAGCTTTAGAAACGCAGACTATAAGAAAAACAGCGTCACAACATCGACACATGTGACTACATTTACTGATCGATAATATAGTCGCAGAATTGTCGGGGAAAAACGCGTGACGTAGTAATTCGATGCTAAACTATACGCGTACTCGATCGCCTTCGTGTATAATATTCGTTCGAAGGGAGACTCCGGTTCGCCTCCGCGAAATGCCGATACGGTGTCGCGTATACGAAGTCTCTCGAACTTCGATGACCCGTTCACGCCATAATCGCGATCGCAGTAGAACGAGAGGAAAGTATAGGCTCAAGGCCGACGATAATCCATATTGTACACGAGTCGAAATTTTCAAAACGCGACTAATAAGACTCCAATTCTGGAGAGGAGAAACGAACCCCCCACGTTCGAACGACGAGTCATCGATCGATGAGTCGCGTTCGACAATAACACTTTAAATATTAAGACGCACTGAATAAATGATGAGAGGTGGAGAAACATGTATAGAACATATTTTACGAATGTGCTCCGAAAATAACATTGACTTATAACGGTACAGCGTTAAATAAATTAAGATTAATTAATAAAATCTGAAGCAGAATATTCATTATAATGCTCGCATATAAAAGAAATTTATTTTTAATAGCACCACTTCAATCATTTCATCAGTCGTATTTAAATATCGTTACGAGCGCGTTGCAAATACATAAAGGACACCTGCAACGTCAGGTGTAAAGGAAGGATGACGAGCACTATGCGCGCACGTACACATATACTAAATCGGAACAGAACGATTCAAATCTTCTCCGATAATGTATAATACCTCAGATATTTTATCAGGTCTTCCAAATACCACGATAAGCTCCGAAATTTACGGGAAGTACAAAATTGATTTAAATACCTAAAAAATTCTTCGGGAAGCCGGTGCGAATCCCACTCGACGAACTGCAAACCTACTCGCGACGCAAACAAGAGGACACTGGGCGCGTGTCCTTTCGTATGTCCTGCAAAGGCGCGTGTTTACCTCTCCGGAAAGAGACCCCACCCTCGCTCCGACTCTCGCGAGCGCGACACAGGCAAATTGCGTATCTCGGGAAAAAGAGGAAATCAAGGCCGAGATATCGCGAGGAGGCAGGAAATCGATGTAGGACGAACGTCGCAAAGTTTTGTCACGTTAGCGCGCCGCGCGTAGAGAGGGTTATAATATTTACTCACGGTATACGTGCGCTCTACCGCTGTCAGGCTCCAGGATGATCGGCGCGGGATCGCTTCCTCGCGAAATCGATGCCGTGCACGGACGCCCCGACGCGATTCACTACACCACGCACACGTTTCCGCGGCGCGTTTCGGGCTGCGCCCTGTACGAATCCCTTCCGTCCACGCGACTCACAACGGCGGCCCGTCAAACGCGACACGCACCCGCCATGTTGCCATGGCGACGCCGGCGGCGCCTGGCGGCGCAACTGTCAACTAACGGGCGCGCGAACTTTCGAACGCGTTAGAGTTCCCTCTCGTTACGTCGCGCTCAAAAATATTAATTTTGAGAAATTATTAGGAGAACCGATAAAAATATTATTTTTAGATATCATTATTATTTATTAAATAAAATCCCCACTGATAATTAATCGATTAATGACAGACGCGGAAATTTTGGCGGGGCGCTCGTGACACGTGTTACGTTCCTTCTTCATTCCCATTTCCCACTTTCGATCGGGCGAATGTTTTCCGCGAGAATAATAGGCGGAGAGTCGTCGGATCATCGTCGCTGCGTGATATCGGACGAGACGAATTAATTGCATTCTTGGGACTCGGACACTGTCGTTATTTCTGCGATACGTATGTATGCACGAACGAGCATCAAATCATTCGCGAGTCGAAGTTTATCGATCGAGACTGTAATACCGTCCTTTTTTACACTTATTCTGTGTTCGCAGGTACACGCACACGTATAAGCACGACTGACCACGTGGGCTGCATATACCGAGCAGCGCTGCATTCATTCAGCGGCTGTATCACGTGATACGAGTCATCATCTGTCGCATTGAGAAAACGTGACCGGGAGACGACCGAGACACGCCACGCCGGGGAGGTTTCGCCGAAAGACTACGAGACGCGCCGACGAGTCTACGAAAGAGGTTAGATTGCCGCTCGTAAATAGTATCACGTGCATTCAACAATTGCGAAACTTTTGCAAGCGAAAGGACAGGGAAACCGCAAACATTGTCAATTGCATAAATCGTCATGAGTTTGAGATTTCTTATATCAAATAAGCTGCAGCGCGCGATAGAAATACCATCTGTCACTTTACAATTGCATGAGAAATGTTTTATGGCGTTATAAAATAGGATTAAGAGAATTTTCTACCGAAATATATATTGCTTTGAGTCGAAAAATTATTTTGTATAGCTTGTTAGAAGAGAGTTAGGCTTTTTTATATTTTTAATTAAAATTGTAAAAGATAGGAAAATGATGCTGGATCAAAGCCTGTTTTCGGAGCACATATTTAGTTCGAAGTTTCAAGAAGAACTCAAAAAACACTGGCACTCCCAATCTGATTTTAAAAGTGCCGATTTTGAAGTCATATCGAAACCATTTAAAATCTGTAGAATATCAAATATCTTAAAAATGAGGGGTTTATAGACAGTTTAAAATGCGAATTGGAAAATTATGAACACAAACGCAAGGTCACGGATCTTTATCAGTTTGAGAAAACTAGCGATTTGTCTGATGCATCCGAGTATTGTAGCAAGATGCTGTATCAATCTTTTCAAACAGATTTAGCATCGTGGATGGAACGCAATACAAATATTAAGTTAAACGGAACTATTTCTATGTCAAGTGCTCGTTACTACGAAACAGATTATTTATTGTGCCACGATGATAATATGGGCGATAGGAGAATAGCTTATATATTATATTTATCGAAAGGTTGGACGGAAGAGGACGGAGGTACTTTAGATCTTTTTGATACGGATGAGCATTGCGCTCCCATAAACATAGTAAGATCATTAATTCCGGAATATAATTCTCTCATATTCTTCGAAGTTGTTGAGAATTCTTATCATCAGGTAGCCGAAGTAATAACCGATGACAAATGTCGATGGTCAGTTAATGGTTGGTTTTACGGTCCTTTAAGAGAGAGTCTTAAACCGCCAAGAGTTCAATCGATAAAACATTTCATAGAACCAAACACCACGGAAATAGAATTAAGTTCTTGGATCTCGAACCAATATCTATTAGACAATATAATGGACCAAATTCACGAGGATTTCATGAAAACATCTTACACACTTCTTGAATGCTTCTTGCAAGAATCTGTGTACAAGCTAATTTTGAATGATTTAACGTCACAAGACATCAGCTGGCAGATGATTGGCCCTGCGGACATACGTCATTACGAGGTAGCCGACGAACAAACCTTACCAAAACTGTTGAAAGACTTTTGCGATATATTTAAATCTATCACCTTCTTTGAACTGCTATGGAAATACACGGAGCTCGATCTTGTGCCTGACGAGGAGAGTATGAGGCCTAAGATGACGATAGAACTACAGAGATGGTCGGCAGGCTGTTACACATTACTGTACGATAAATCGCTATTGAATGATAGCACAGATGAGATAGAAAAAACTCCTGAGCTCAGCGACAAGTCGAGCACTGTAGCATCGGCTGGTGCATCGACCTCAAAGTCCTCCGAGATCGAGGGCGCCTTGAATTCAAGTCAGTGTAAAAGGAAAAGAGTCGGCTCTTCTGATAAAACTGTGACAAGTTCGTGTCACAAGAAGAAGGTAACTAAATATCTCGATACCCAGTCTGACGTCTGCGCGAAATCTCCGAATAAGGATCCCGAATATGACACGGATGCGAGCGAGAATTCTTTGTCTCAAGACGAGAAATTGTCTTCTAGTAATGCAGTAGATGACAGCGAGAATGATTCCATCAATGATCAGAAATTCAAGCTTGACGTTATGCTACAATTTCACACGTTAAATGATAAAGGCTCACCAAAAACAGAAACTACGATAGATTTTGTAGATCCTAATAGAGAGGAAGGTACTATAATTCAACTTCCAGCGATGGATAATCAACTTTGTCTAGTTTATAGGTCATTAATGCTAAATCGTCTTCAACAGTATCTTAATCATCATTATGAGGGCTATTCTTATAGTTTGATATGTTCGTATTATGAATAGTCGAGTATGTGTAATATATGGTATTAGACTTTAGTTATAAATCGATTATTTTGTCAAATAAAATTATAAAAAGAAAGAAAAACAATTTTTAGTTTAATTTTGTTAATGACCGAGAGCGACGCTCTTGAAAAGAATATCAATATTTGCTTTATGAACAAAAATTATAAATACATCATTAATATTTTAATAAATTTATCATGGAAAATAAATCTCTTATTTTTTTAGTAAAAAACATGTTAGACATGACAGGTAGGCATGAAAACATTGCAAATAATATTAACAGAAAAGTTAAAAGATTAATAAATATATGAATAACAAAGGATACTAACACAGCGATGTTAAATAAGAAAATTTATAGCATCAAAAATAAATCGCGTAATATTTCTTTTTAATTAATTCTTTTTAATTTAAAAGAAAGCGAATGAACATAAATATATGTGTTAAAAAAAATTATCGATGTGTCAAGCATCTATTAATTATTTACAGACTGGCAAAAAATTTACGGCAATCTTATTAAGGTGAAGATTAAGATCGTAATGCAGAAAACATATACAATCATTTATTGGATGCGGTATATTTATGTACATGGCATAAAAGAAAATCTTTTATTTTACTTGCGAGAGCAGCAAACGTTTTTAGGATTCATGCAATCATAAAGTCGGATGCGAGAAATCGCGCCAAGGGGGATATGTTCGAGAGAAAAGTTTTCCCTCGAAACTTAAGATTCACATTTCGAATATGTGCAGAGAGAGTCTACAGTCAGATCGAAAACTTTTCTTTCGCCCATCCGCGCACTGAAAAAAATTATTAAATTAATAAATATTTTTTTCAATACTGCTTAATAAATCATTAACTTGAAACAAATAAATAATTATCTGTTTTGAAAAGAATTTTCTTATATCGAATAAATATTTTTCACGTCAAATCAATATTATTAGTTTCAAATAAATGATTTATTAGGCAGTACTGAAATAAATATTTATTCGAATTCAATAAACTTGTTTTCAGTGCGCGAACTTGTGAATTGCATGTGCAAGGAAATGTAAAACGTAACATTACACGATGCTTTTCGCGAGATCGATTGCGCGATTCTCTCGTTGCTCGTAAAATCTCGCGACTCGAGCCATTCCAAGGAAGCAGGAGAGAGGAAAGAAAGGAAAGAACTCGAATGAAAAATGAGGGCTTACGCTTTGCGGTGATTACACTCGGTGGTTTCAGGTTCCTGCACTTGAATCCTGGGTCGTAGCAGGTTCGGTTGTCCTGCTGCGCCATCCTTGGTTGCGATCTTTGACGTAACCTGACACGTGATAAAATGTTTTAGTGCAAAAGCCCCTACGGCGTCGCGACGAAGTCGTAATTTTGCGCAAACGCGAGTGGGTGGTTTGGAGACGCGTTAAGAGAGTTTACTTGCTCGTCGAACTGAATGAGGAAACTTTATCTGCCCCGCGTTCCTCTCGCGTCGTCTTCTATTTCAAGAACGATCAGTTCGCCGGAAGTTATTAATGGGCGCACCTTCGATGCAGTTCCGTTCCGGGTGACTTCATCGGACATTCTTCAAGTGATCGTTCAATTCTAATTGATCGTTATTTAACTTATCGTAAGCAGATTAAATAATCGATAAGCGCCTGCAAACTTGTCATATTTCTTGCGGTCGATAAGCCACGTATATATTTTTACTAGAATTTTTTCAATTATTATCACACAGTTTTTTTGACAAATGCACGAAGAGAATTTTCTCTTATTGTTAGAGTTTGCCTTAAAAATCATGATAATCGTAAGAATTTTATAAAAGTTTCTCTCATTAATATTTACCACATTAAAAATATGTCATAGTAAAATTGATCGAACATTTTTATATGTATCTTATTGTGGTAAATACTAATATTTTTATCGTGGTAAATATTCATCAGAGAAACTCATAAAAATCTTCTGATATTATATTGTCTCGCGATTACCTTGATTTTCAGGATAAATTCTAAGAAAAAATTCTCTCTATGTGCTAAATGTATATTTATCGCTCCCACATATTACGATTAATGGTCCGCAATTAAATTATCGACAATACGCGCGAATTGACTAAGTATGCACTTCCCCTATGTCATCGACAGATTCGTTACTCGTAATGACGATATTGATTTATCGAGACGGGAACCAGGACCTTTATTCAGATCGTCGTCCGCAGATTACTAATCACCTGGGACGTGGAGGCAATCCCGGCCATTCGTTTCCGTAGCTCGTTCAATTGCAGCTCCTGCTGAAAGCTGACATCGCTCTCCTGCGACTCGTCTCGCCTACCGCCCTCGATCGATTCGGACGAGTACTCGACCTGGATCCAGGGACAAATCGTCGGCGACGATTGCAGCGAGCCCTTGCTTCCGGGTCGGGACAGGCGCGGAGAAAGTCGTCTCAATAGCGACACAAGTTTCGATCTAAGACGATACTTTTTATCATTCTTAACGATACGCAGGAAAGCGCGAGAAAAATTATCACTATTCGACAAAAAAATTTTTGCCAGAACTAGACTAGTCGTTTCTTGTAGCTTTTTGGATGCTGAATACGAATCTAGTTTCCAAATTATTCCATCACGTCACAATTTTAAGAAATTTTTAATTAAAGCCAAAAAGGGCTTTTTTCGGGAACTTTTTGTTATATTATAGTTACAATAAGTGCTAGAGAAGTTTTATTGCAATCAAAGTATATTATATTAGGACTTTCAACCCTCAAAAGGAATTTTTAATGTCGATTATGATCGATGAGATATTCATGGTTAAATGGGATGTATTACGAAAGTTACCTGTGTCTTATATAGGTCATTCACGATTTACCAAATAAATTTCAATTATTTAATCTTTTTTCAGTCATTGAATACGAATCCAGTGTCAAAATTTTCAAATTCAAAATGATGGACTCAATATAGTGGATTTATATTAAAAAAGTATTTTTTAAAATTTGACATCCCCCGTATTGAATTCGTATTCTCAATGACCTAACAAAATTCTTAAAAGCTATTTAGTAAATCATCAATGACTGAATTGTAAGTCACAGCTAACTTTCGCAATACAGCTTATATTTAACCATGGATATCTTATTAATCATAACCAACACCAAAAATTCCTTTTAAGGGTTAAAAGTCCTAACTATATACTTTATTTTAATTGCAATAAAACTTCTGCAGCATGTCACATATTGTAGTTATAATATGACAAATTCGTGAAACTAGTCCTTTTGTACAATTTTAATTAAAAATTTCTCAAAATTGTAACGTAATGGAGCAATTTGGAAATCGGATTCGTATTCAGCATCAAAAAACTATAAGTTTCTTTATATAAGTCTCGTTCCGGTGTTCGAAAAAAAGTCATTTTTTGTTGAACAGTGTTACAGTTTATAGAATAATTTTTTTCAAAATTATCAGAATTTTTTATCAAGCATTTCTTTGAAATAGACTACAGTGCAAAAAAATTGGAAGCTTCGCAAAAAATTTCGATGCACATCAAACAATCTTACTACATATCTTATCAATATAAATCCCGCAATATGCACATATATCTGTCACAAACACAACTGCGCTAAATGAAACAACACGACGCGTAGTTTTCAGACATTACTAATTATTTCATACATATACGTATAATCAATTTTCCGCGGTGCGTTGCTATTTCCGCCGAGTTGTACATTTTCCTCGCATGTCTTCCGAACAAACATCATTACCCCGTTTTCTTTTTTCAACAAATTAATTACCGTTTCCAACGTAACTGGCATTTCCCGGTATATATATGTATATTTTCCTCGCTGCGTGTATGACTTCATCGCGATTCACCCGCTACATTCAATACTAAAGTCTCCCTTCCTCTCTTCGTCATTAAACTTGCTGGTTTCCTCTTGACTCACGTCTTTACCGTTATACCTTTTCTACTCTCGTCTACCGTGCGAAACAGCCGTGCGGCCGCCCCGTTTCGAATGAGCTTATCATAAATTATTCGCTTTTGTTGCGTGCGTATGCGCCAAACACGCGAGGCGCGCGAATTAGCATACCTCGTGCTCGGCGTTTGAAGATGATCGGAAGTGAGAGGCGCGCTCCTGGAAAGCTGCTCGGCGCTCCGGGTCGCGTCTCTCCAATGGAGCTGATTGGAGCCGAAAGTGACAGATCTTCCTACCCTCCAGTCCAGGCTGCTACTCTGTCTGGCTTGCATATCTAAAAAAAATCGATCCTATGTGATTCGTGTAAAAACGCAGATTTTGACGAATCGTAAACTTTATTTGCAACAGAGCGATCTTATATATAAATCTCATGTTTGCAGGAAACTGATTAATCATTATACTCTTTATTTAATTCGCATTTTCCATTTATGAAAAATAAAAAGAAAATGCGATTTTTTAAATAAAAAAATAAGTCAATTATATATAAGTATTATAACTTTTGAAAAGATCTATAAGTGTATAAAAGCAGTCGGAATTTGAAGAAAAAGTTAATTGCTATTGAGGACTCATCGAGTTCCCCCAGTTCGCTAACGATTTTATGAGTCACAGTTTAATGGATTACCTTGCTCGTTGGCGTTCTGGCCGACCCTCCAATCCAGAGAATTACTATTTCTATTCACGCTATAAATGTTATCACAGGATTTGGTGGCAAGGCATGTCGCGTGATGACGACGTCTCAGCAGTCTTGATACTGGTCCCAAGTTTCTACAAAAAATTCAGCATTTCTTATAAAAAGGGGTCGATGTCATATCTCACATCAAACAAAAAAATTAAATAAATCTCGAAAATGACGCTTATCAGTATACGACAAAGTAATATACCGAGACACATACACGCGATAAAAAAATCGATCAGGTGTTATCTCGATATAAAACCGTTTTCGTTCTATCGCGATAAGAAGATACTTCGATTCTTTCTCTCGCGATAGAGTGCGCGATATCAAATAAAAATGTATACTAACTTCTTGAAGCGTCGCGTCTGCTCGATCGGCGGCTTGTTCTCGGCAGTCGATCCGCTGGCCGTTTCCGGTTCCGGGCAGTAAGTGCCCACTCGCACGTGGCTGTATGTAGCGCGCAGCTGCACCCCGTCCAGCGGCCGGAAGTTGCTCCGCTCGATGGACGAGACGCGCACGATCTCGATCTTCGGCCGCGCCTCACCTCCGCTTTTCCTCTCCATGATCGAAAGCTGAATGGCGAGTCGTCCTCCCTCGTTGACGACGAAATCCACCGACGCGTCGAGAGTTCAATTGCTCTCGACCTTATTGCCCGTTCGATCCTCCCACATTATTTATCTCTCTCTCCGCGACACGGAGGGAAACCGCTGCGTCACGTCGAAGCCTTCGGCATCACCTCGTGATCTTGTCTTTCTTATCTTTCTCTTTCTCTCTTGTAGCTACGCTTGTGTCTTCCTCTATTTCGCTCGTAAAAATCTCTATTTTTATTTCCACTCGTTTTTACGACGCACCGTAATCGTAGGAGGACCAGAGAAAAAAATACACGAAATATTCGCGTATACGAAAGTCGCGTGTAAAACTGGAAATTCAAAACCTACGATTTTTATTTCACATTTATCTTTTTATATCGATGGTAGAAAAGATGAAATACGAAGGTTATTTCGATGCACGATATATATGTGACGAGAGAGCGCAGTTCGTCTCATCGATTGCGCTATCCACTTTGACACTATTTACCCACGTGGTCACGTTATGTCAAATCGCTGCCTCGAGCTTCCTCGCGCGCGCGCGCGCGAGAGAGAAGTGTCGGATCGCGGTTCTGAATTTTTCTTTTCCCGACCTCTCGCAATCTCTTTTTTTTTCTTTCTTTTTTTTTGGTGTTTGGCGATATCACAATGGGTGGTTGCTTTTATCGGAGCAACGAGAGCGTTCGATTCACCAGCTCGCACGCCAGGCTCTCCTTTTCTCTCTCCCTTCTCTTCCTCCTTCTCCTTCTCTCTCTCCCTGCGTCGCGAGCCAGGAGGGAGAAAAAAATGCGCGGGTCACGTTCATTCATCCCACGGAGAATGCTACGACGTAATTATCACGCTGCGCGATCGCGACGCACGCGAGCGAACGAGCATATACGTGCACATATGTACGCCCGCGCTACTCTAATTGAAATGTTCACGCGTGTGTGTGTATATGTGTGCGTGCGTGTTGCGAGATCTCGCCGTTTCTGGCACTTTTCAAATTAACGTTTATGGATCATGTCGTTTCACTCACATTGACACTCGTTCTCTCGATTTTTTTCGGTAAAAAAACAGTTCCGAGAATTTGATCAAACACTTCCTATTCTTGCTTCCGCTATAGGGTAATTGGTGCTTTCCGGATTGACACAAACATACGGACACTTATATACTGTTTCCACCTGCCATCACTTCCTTATGTAGAGAAATAAGAGAAAAAGTAAATTGACAAAAGCTTGATTCAACATATCACATAAAACACTATAATTAAAAAAATACTCATAAAAAATGACTTTAAACTATATTGGATGTTGAAACCACATATTCTTCGTTGTTAGATGAGATATTACATTGAAGACATAAATATTGTTTGTGCTATGCAAATTTTAAAATTTTGCTTACGTATAAAAGATCGACATAGTTAAAAGAATAATTATTATTCTTCACTTAACGAAGAATCTTCTATGAGTTTTTTTCGCGGCGTAAATTATATATACGCTGCTTTAATTATATACACAATTACATCATGACTTCGCATACGTAAGTTGTGTGGGCGCGTTTAATTACAATATTTCTGCTTGCGCGATATATTGTTTCGCGATTGGAAAATCGAGCTCGGATATCAGAATGTCCTGCATGGCTACTGTGTTTAAAACTGATGGCAACACAGAGTGAATGCGACTATTCACTATTCACACGACACGCGGTTCATCACGTCTCTCTTTTCTCTCTCCCCGTTTTATTTCTCTATCTAGAACGCGGCTTCCCCTTCTCTTTGCTCCATAAAATGTAACGATGTTCGTCCGTCCGACCCAAATCGCGGTGCGCCACCTCGAATAATGCAAGTCAATCGACGCCGATCGAATTAATTTCGCGCGATATCCTCTCGATTTTTTGCGCGCGAAATCCGCGCGAGAGATGTAACAGGCGAAGCTTCGACGATTTTACACGTCCTTGATTTAATTAAAAATATGATTCTGATCTTGATTTTATAATTTTAAAAATGTAAAAAAATTGTATATATATTATTAGATTGTCATCCGACCTCTTGTTTTTATTGTGACGCTATTCTGACAACGCGTCGATAATCTCGCTCGATCGCACATTTAGCCATTGATTTTATTTGATATTTACACTTGGACGATTTTTGCGATAAACAATTGACATCATCGATTTATCGTCGCGGGTTTTTATCTCACGAGCGAACTGCGCTCAATGAAAATTTCCAGTGACTACAGCTGAAACAATTATCCGAAAGTGTCCTTTCTCC